TTTTTTTTTTTTTTTTTTTTTTTTTTTTTTTTTTTTTTTTTTTTTTTTTTTTTTTTTTTTCTTAGGGGTGTCCTACAAGCTGCACTTTCTCTGGTTTGTTCTCTTGCTGCAGGACCACCACAACAGGTATAAATTGTCTCCTTTATTTATTTATTTATTTATTTATTTATTTATTTATTTATGTCTCCTTTTGTCTATTTTATTTGTCTCCTTTATTATATATAATGTATATTCCTTATATCTCCTTTTTTTTACGTTTTTATGTCCCTCTTTTTTTCCTAGGGTTTAGGGTTTAGGGTTTAGGGTTTAGGGTTTAGGGTTTGTGTATACAGGAGGATGTAGCAATAAATTTATTACCTCTTGTTGCTTCTGTCTTTCATAGGAATATTTCCTTTGATATAAGAAGAGTAGGTCCCTATACACCCCAATCTGCTGCTGCATGCATGCATGCGTGCTGCTGCTGCTGCTGCTGCTGCTGCTGCTGCATGCATGCATGCATGCGTGCTGCTGCATGCATGCAGACTGCGCACACATTTTAGGTTCCTATACATCCCCTACACCTGCATGCATCCCCAGCTATATATACACCTATATTTATATTAATTTTTTTCTCTTATTTATTTATTTATTTATTTATTTATTTATTTATGTATAGGATGCAGCGGAGACATTATTACATTTATGTTTAAATAATGCATGCAGACATATAGATAAAATTCTTTCTTTTTCTCCCCCTTTATTAGGAGGGTTTCTTGATCTATTACAACAATCTAAATATGATCTTACTTCTGTTATGTACGTTGAACAAGGGTTTAGGGTTTAGGGTTTAGGGTTTAGGGTTTAGGGTTTAGGGTTTAGTGAGGGGTTAGGGTTTATTCAGGGTTTATCAAGGGTTTAGGGTTTACAGAGGGTTATTTATTTAACACTCGCATTCAAAGGGTTTATTTAGGAGGGTTTAGGGTTTAGGGTTTAGGGTTTAGGGTTTGTTGTATGTGTTGCAGGATAGCATTAGATTTTATTGGTGGTGTATTAGAGAGAGAGCCAAAGACAAGAGAAGAAGTCTATAGGATGGATGGCATTGCTGTAAGCTAGGGTTTAGGGTTTAGGGTTTAGGGTTTCTAGGGTTTACGATTTTTAGGGTTTCTAGGGTTTAGGGTTTAGGGTTTAGGGTTTGTGTGTGTGTGTTTTTTTTTATAGAAACTAGAGAGTGTTCAATTCCTTCATAATGAGGCGACTGATAGGAGAGTCTCTAATATCATCTCCGAGTAAGGGTTTAGGGTTTAGGGTTTAGGGTTTAGGGTTTAGGGTTTAGGGTTTACGCATACATTAGTTTTTCCAATCTCCAATTTATTTATTTTATTTATTTATTTATTTATTTTATTTATTTTATTTATTTTATTTATTTATATAACTTTATTTATTTATTTAGTCTCTTTCCTTCCTTATTTCTTTCTTTGTTGGTGTTTGTGGCTCGTGCTGCTGCTGCCGCTGCTGCTGCACATGGCTTTACATGCTTAGGGTTTAGGGTTTAGGGTTTAGGGTTTAGGGTTTGGGTCTGTTTCTACAGATACTTGGACGGATTTAGCGAGGACGAAGAGGGACCTTAGTCTCCTTTCTTGGGGACCAGCCTCCTAGGGTTTAGGGTTTAGGGTTTAGGGTTTAGGGTTTGTAGGTGTATAAAGGATTGGCGGTAGTGCGGGATATAATTGACGGCAAAAGGGTTTGCTGTCTAGGGTTTAGGGTTTAGGGTTTAGGGTTTAGAGTGTTGTTGTTTGTCTTCGCTAGCTAGCCAGATAGCTAGCTAGCTATTGGCTTTCTTCTTCTTATCTAGTTAGCTAGCTAGCTACCTAGCTAGCTAGCTAACCTGCATGTATGCATGCATGCATGCATGCATGCGCTGAGGTGTACGTACACCTCAGCAACGATAAGATTGGCTCTTTATACATGAGCATTGCTGCATATTTTTTTGCTGTTTTGCTGCCTGCTGCTGCTGCTGCTTCTTGCTGCTGCCTGCTGCTTCTCGGGTCGTGGATGCTGCTGCTGCTGCTGCTGCTGCTGCTGCGGAGATGTTTATTGCTGCAGTTAGTGTATAGTTATTGATTAGCTGCCTATACACCCCAACATAGAGACGAGCTGCCTGTACACCCCATTAAGACATAATCTCTACTACATACCGCATGCAACTCAACTGCAGCTGCAGCAGCAGCAGCAGCAGCTGCTGCTGCTGCTGCTGCTGCTGCTGTTGTCTTCTACTATATAGGAGGAATGATGGTGCCTTGCATACATATATAAATAAATATATTATTTTTTCTTCCTTAAGGAAAAAGAATTAATAAGTGTCTCCTTATTAGGTGTCTCCTTTTATTAGGTGTCTCCTTTTTTATTAATAAATAATTTATTATTTATTTATTTATTTATTTATTTGTCTCCTTTTATTTATTATCTAATTAATAGACACACAATAAGAAAAATGAGCAGCAGCAGCAGCAACGAGGTGCATATACACCCCAAATACTACTTACAATGGGGGGTCGATTGTTTTGCTGCTGCTGCTGCAGCAGCAGCTCCAGCAGATAGTTGCTGCAGCAAGGGATTTATATTATTATTGAGGGTTGTATTATAAACTAATAAAATAAATAATAATAAATTAATTAAATTAATTAATTTACTGCAGCAGCAGCAGCTGCTGCTGCTGCTCTTGTTGCCGTTGCTGCTGCTGCTGCTGCTGCAGCTGGGGTGTATGTGTAAGTATATATATTAGTATGTGTGCTGCAGTGTTAATCACTGACTTTTGTTTATTTATTTATTTTTTATTAATTAATTATTTAATTAAATAAATAATTAAATTTATTTATTTATTTATTTATTTAAATAATAGTATAATTAAGGCAAAAAGCAGCAGCAGAAAGAGCAGCAGCAGCAGCAGCAGCAGCAGCAGAAGCCTCGAGCAGCTGGTACGACCTCTGGATAAACCCTAAACCCTAAACCCTAAAAAAGGGTTTAGTAGGGAATATATAATAAATAATAAGAAGAATAATAATAGAAGGAAAAAAAGAAACAAACCCTGACGTTGCTGCTGCTGCTGCTGTTGTTGCTGCTGCTGCTGCTGCTAGTAGCAGCACAACAACAACCTTCTTGCCAGCCCGCCTCCCCCCGGTCACTCCGCTGCTGCTGCTGCTGTTGCTGCTGCTGCTGCTGCTGCTGCAGTGTTGTTGTGTCATAGTTAGTCTTCTGTCTCTTTTTTCTTTTTTTTTATTATAAAATAAATTAGTGTTTATTATTTCGTCTCTTTTGTGCAGCAGCAGCACAGTCTGCAGCAGGAAGCAGCAGCAACAGCAGCAGCAGCAGCAACAGCAGCAGCAGCAGCAGCAGCAGCAGCTGCAGCTGCAAAGAAGAGTGTGTTGGGGTTGCTGCTGTATATAATACATTATCTTCTGTGTGTATACAGCAGCAAAGTTTGTTGTTGCTGTCTTCCTCCATAAGGGTTTAGGGTTTAGGGTTTAGGGTTTACGATGGAGGGTTCAGCAGAGACGCATTATGTATCATTTCTTAGTGGTGATGGTGGTGGTGGTATGGGTAGGAGGAGCAGCAGCAGCAGCAGGAGCAGCAGCAGGAGCAGACACCATATAGGCAGCAGCAGCAACTGCAGCAGGAGCAGCAACAGATATCGTCGTGGCTGCAGCAGCAGCAGCACAGCAGCAGCAGCAGCAGCAGCAGCAGCAGCAGCAGCAAGAGGGTTTGGATATTTGCTGCTGAATAGAGCAGCAGCAAAACGTTATTTATATAAAAGAAGAATAACAGCAACTTTGCTGCTGCTGTCTCTTCTTGCTGCTGCTGCTCTTTGCATGTATTGGTGTGGTATGCAGCAGCTATTTGCTGCTGATGATGCAGCAGCAGCAGCAGCAGCAAATGCAGCAAATGCAGCAGCAGCAGCAGCAGCAGCAGCAGAAGATGGTGAATTCTCCTCCTCTTCCTCCCCTAACAAAACACCATCAGCAGCAGCAGCAGCAGCAGCAGCAGCAGCAGCAGGAGAGCAGCAGCAGCAGCAGCAGCAGCAAGACACATCATTAGACCCATCAAAAGATACAGAAAAAGATGGGGAATCAGACAAAGACACAGCAGCAGCAGCAGCAGCAACAGCAGCAACAGGAGGAACAGGAGAAGAAATAATAATACCTAAAAGTATATATAATTATAAGTATATACACTACGAATTATTATTTATTAATTTTATGAATAAAAATAATAAATTTTATATAAATAAACAAGAAAAGATAAAAAGATTAAATATATTTATTATTAATCTTAATTATATTTTATTACATAACTTACAAGGTAATTTGCTGCTGTTGCTGCTGTTGCTGCTGTTGCTGCTGTTGCTGCTGTACGAGCTGCTGCTGTTGTTGTTGCTGTTGCTGCTGCTGCTGTTTTTTTGCTGTTTTTGTTGTTATTTTATGTCTTACTTGTCCCCCTATTTCCTCTTCCCTCCCTCTCTTGCTGCTGCTGCTGCTGCTCCTCCTCCTCCTCTTCATGCTGCTGCTGTTGCTGCTGCTGTTACTGTTACTGCTGCTGCTGCTGCTGCTGCTGCTGCTGCTGCTGCTGCTGCTGCAGGTCATTCATACGAATTAGGTATGAATAGATTTGGTGATTGGACAAGAGAAGAAATTAAATATTTTATAAATAAAACAAAAGGAGACAAACATTTCTCCCTTAAACATAATAGGCTAGGAGTACGAGTCTTGCTGCTGCTGCTGCTGCTGCTGTTTGTGCTGCTGCTGTTTGTGCTGCTGCTGCTGTTTGCTGTTTGTGTTGCTGTTTGTGTTGTTGTTGCTGTTTTGTTGTGGTTGTTTTGGTGTGATTGTCTGTTGTCTCTTCTTCTTGCTGCTGCTGCTGTTGCTGCTGCTGCTGCTGCTGCTGCTGCTGCTGCTGCTGCTGCTGCTGCTGCTGCTGCTGTTTTATCTCTTAGTGTCTCCGTTTTTTCTGCTGCATTTGCATAAATATATTTATATAT